TATAGGGAACCTGTCTTAGTTGTCCAGGAATTGCCCCTTTCTTAACTGTGTTTCTACTGGCCAAATATCCTAATTTATATAATACCTTTTGCAAATTTGTGATAGTAATCAAAATCATGATTCTGGCAGCATCCTGAATTAGAGATCCATGAATTCTCCAAGCAATCCAAAATCTTGTGTAGTGGCTTGCACTGAGAGGGCTGAAGAGAAATGCACCTTAATAATCCCACTTACCAGCTTTGAAAGGTACTCTGTGCAAACTCAGTTATTTTTCCATGGAAGAGAGAATAACATTCATTGCCTTCATATTGTTATGACCCCACCACTGGCATGAGACTTGCCAGCCCCAAAATAGTGGCCACACTGTTTACTTCTGCCAGTGGTGAAATAACATCTTGGTCAGTTGTCCCATCCATATTTTCACATTTCAAGATGGTGGAGTAAGATCTTCAAGTCATGTCATTAATATTTCACCAAAATACAATATTCACAAAATATTCAAAATATTATTTCAGGTTCATATTTTGTTTATTCCATCCGTTATTGGAACATTCTAGCTGAATTGGCCTTCACTATGTTGTTCAGTACTGTGGGTTTCAGGAAGTGTGTGCTAGCATATCTCACCTAACAACTGTGGAAAAGGAGAGGTCACTTCTATCCCAGTTCTTTTGCTGAGACACATTGCTACCCACTGGGAACTGTTGTTTCCATGTTTCCTGGCCTCAGCGCTCCTTTTGAAGCCAAACATTGGCAACATGTCCTGGCAGGAGCTTATGCAGAGTCATAAAATAGAAATTTGGGCTTTCTTAAATAGCAGTAACTTTTGCCACATTCAGGGCAAGTAAATGTACATGAACTGACCTACTGTCAGGAAATTAGTTTTTTGAGGCCAGTGCCCACAGATTTTCCCCCAAGGCTGGCAAAAAGAAAGCATGGTGTGACAAGAACCAGAGGAACTTAGGCAATATACTTTGGCAGTTTTTTAGGAAGAATTTTGCCTCTAGGCAAAGCCCAAGACTAAAGTATGAAATTACACATTTAAGAGAAGTGTCACCAAGAGCTTTAGTTTGTAAACTAATCCTAAACTCATTATGTCTGTAACAATAGTTTTGTTTACATCTTCAGTTCATCTTTGCAACATTTCTGTACCTACACAAGGTCCTTTATACATTCCTATTGGTATCTCTGTTACTAATATCTACACGGCTTGGCCAGTCTTGGAGTTGCTGAGAGTGGAAATCCATGTGGAAAAAAAGAAGCGTAATCACCAAGAAAAACATTGGTACATATTAGCAATCTCTGTGCATCTCTCATGTAATCTAATCTGATGAATTAAGCCTGTGAAAAACTGGTAATTTCAGGTCTCTTTGACTATGACCTCAGATATCAGAGTTTGTGATATCTCCTAAATGATATCTCCTAAACTGAAAAATAAAATACTCTTTGCTCCATACACAATCATTTAACCCAGCCTTTAGCAGAGAATAAACAGGAAGGGATACATCCTGGCCTGATCTATGGTTTTATAAGCTTGACATCCAACAGAAAACTAAGTGGAATTACGTGGCCAGTGATACATAACTGGCCTTGGGAGTTTTTTAAACAGTTGACCTGTGGGTAAAGACTCAGATTATGTAAAACTCAGGGTGAACTAAACAAGGTACAGTGATGAAAAAATAATGTCACCACCAGCATTTTGACCAGCTTTTTTTCTCGAGGTTTTCACCTGATTTATTCAGCATGAAGCTGATAGTGCTAACCATGTTTTAAAGTACATGAGAAACATCAACAGGGAAATATCAGCCTTCACTTTATAAGATGTCATTTTGATCTCAAGGACAACTAAGTAGAGGAGATCTAAATTCAAAGAAACAGTGAGATGCTTTGCTTTGCTTAACTGACCTTTAGTAATTCTGACGGCGGAAAATGTCCCTCCAGTTTGACTCATTTTTTTCCCCCTCAGATACACTCTGTTTGTCATTAAGGGCTGTTACTCAAGCAGCTCTCAAGAAAGCAGGCTGCTTTTTCCCTCAGTTATGGTGAGGAGCATAATTACAGGATAAGCTGCAATGGATTTATGCCAACATGTTCAGCTCAAGTCACATGACAGAGAACAAATTAACTGAAATGAAAAGCTAAAAAACTTAAACCTTAACCTATAGTGCATTCTTGAACTGTGCATTTGAATTGGGTACTTTCTTCTCTGTACAGAAAGCTCTTTCGTTTTCCCAAATGCACAGCTGTTTCTTCCTCTAGGCTTGCAGTCTGTTGAAAATAATAGTGCTACTAATCCCACTTGCTATGAAGGTTTTATAGAGGAAGCATGCGGTTAATGTAATCAGATTTGTTGTTTAAAATTCTGGGTGGTTTTTTTTTACTGTCATTGTCAAAATTTCCTCATTGTTATCCACTCAAATCTGGCACTGGAGGAGGGTTTATTAACAAAATATTTGTTGAAAATCTAATGAATGCGTATGGTTTCTAAATCTGAAAGGGAAAGAAGTTATCAGAACAGGTCCAGTTCCAAATTCTGAAAAATTTAATTTTCATTGGAAAAATTATTTGTGTTTCTTTCTTGTTGTTAAAATTTAAAAATGAAAGGCTTCAAGACAGTTGGTCTGAGGGAAATATAACCATAGCTCTTGTGAATTGACAACTCCTTCATTTGAGATGAGTGTTGGTCAGACATTCGACCTTCAAAACCTCAGACAAGAGTCTTGCTTGCTTTCTGTGTTCACAAATGTTGAATTATGTTTTTAGTGGAGAACAAAAGCAAAGGGTTACATCCTGCCTTGTGTTGGGGTTTTATGATCCTGGCTTCACCTTTCCAGAAGCTGTGCCCACTTCCCTTGAGATGATTTATGTCCACTGTACCCACTTAGCTGCTTGGCTGGTGTGCTTGAGCTGTAGATTGTTAAACAGTGAAGTGACAAAAGGGTGGCAAGTGCCATGCATGGGAAAATACTAAGACATCAGGCTCATGAATTTCCACAGTCACCATGCATTAGATTCAGTGCTGAAACCTCTAGTTCCTTAAGTATTTATAGGTCACCATGTCCCCAAACCTGGACCAAGCAAAGCTTTAGGTATCTAAGACAGGATATAGGAAGAGTGAAGGTTTTTACATGCAAAATTTCCATTCTGAAGCCTGTTCTCTAATTACAACGATTTGGAGGCATATAAACTTTGTAATGGGGTTGTAATCTTTAAAGCCCTTACTTTTTAGCATGTATGGAAGCATCATGTTCCTGGTTGCACTCAGCAGCTCTGTTCTTCTCAGCCCCTATGTTTAGTCATTTCTCTGCTATCTCTGCCTGTGGTAGCAGAATACCCCTGGTGAAACAGGGCCACTAAAATAATGTGATTGCAACTGATTTATTTAATACTAAGGAAAAAGAAATACCCAATAGATCTTCAATTAAGGATTTTGTCCAGAATGCAAACCATCCATATTTCCATTTCCACTCCTGATGGAAAACACCAGCTCAAGATTTATTCATAACTCTCTTAACATTAGTGACCTCCTAAATTTCTTCAATTAATCTCCAAATCAACTGACTTTCCTGAGAGGTGAGGGTACAGCAGTTTTCTAGTGAAGATTATTATTTCTGTGTGAGCATTCCTGTCATGCTTCTTAAATAAACAGATGAAGAACAAGAAGGGGAAACAGAAACATGTAACAGTCACCCAAAAGGGAAAACATGGTTCTAACTATAATTTTCTGCTTCAAACATATAATACTTTATGTAAATCCTCCTTCCAAGATCCTTCCAATCTTCTCTCCAAGTTATTTCAATTACTACAATTCCCTAATTCAATTTGATGTGTCCATTGTAATTTATTGCATTCACTCTCATATTCACAATAGAAACCTTTTTTAATAGTCACATAAGATAATCTGACTCCATTTATAAAATATTTAGAAACTGCTGGCAAATGAGTTTCAGACTAGCCTTTTTCTTAAATGGAAGTATCTGTCTGTAATGTGGAGAGATATAGTCCAGGAGTGAGTAGGAGATGGGGAGTAAATGAACCTTTATCTAATGTGATCTTAAATGTAAGGAGTTTTTAAGGTGTTTATTGTTGTTTTGGTTTTGGGTTTTTTTGCTGCCTGGTATTTGTTTATTATTTAGTTAATCAAGTGAATATCTTTTCTTTTGACATATTTGATCTTAAATTTAATGAGGAAGACATAAGAGATGAAATTAGCTTCCTAGAAGTGAATAATGGAGAAATGATGAGAAAAATAAATTGCATGTTGAAAAAAATTAAACAATTGCCATACAGAGGTTAAATAGTTCAGCTATTCAATTCATTATCTTTTTTCAGAGTATACATCTAAACTGTGCTTCTTGTCCTACAGAAAGGAGGTTGCTGCATTTAATTCTGTCCAAAGTCTCCTAAAATGGAAGGGAAAACTTCCACTTGAGTACTGCAGGATTTTTATCAGGTCTAGGAGTTAGTGGGACTTTTTTTAGTGTTAGAAAATTATCATATCATTTGGTATGAGAAGCAAACTCTGCTTCAGAGAAACCAAGTCCACAATTGTGGGTTATGGCAGCAGAGCAGCAGGAGCAATGCTTTTCTCAGTCAGCTCTGTTAGATACTTAATGGTCTCTGAACATTTCCTCTCACAAATCTATTGCAAGCATTTTCTCATAGTGATGGAAAAGCAAAAAAAACCATTTTGTAATATTCCTACAAAATCTGAGAGGGTTGAAAGGTTCTAGTATCAGCTCTTCTGTGTCTATCTGCCTGAAGACCTCACTTACCAGTGGCATAGAATAGCAAATTGTTGAAGAATCACAAGTTATAGCATTTTCAAATGCTGCCATAGTAAAATTAATAAAAGGGAAATGCTCAAATGAGTACTTTAAATCTGCCCATTTCAATGTCTGCTTCTTGATTTTAAATTGTTGTGATGAATTTTAGTGATGCAGTAAAAATTTGTAATCCTCTATGTTGTAAGGAACCTAAAGTACTACCTCCAATATCTGCAGGACCCAGAGAACTACAGGATAAGCTGGTGAAGATTCAGAGAACACTCAAAACTGAGCACAGAGAAGAGAGCAGCACACTACATGAGACTGAAGAAACATCACATGGTACAGCAGAGTTAAAGAAGGAATAACTAAAAAAGATTCTGATCCTGTTCTCTTCTTCCCCATAAAAATCCCACGACTCCATGTGAAGGGGAAAGTTTGACTAAAAGAGGATTCTATTACAAATTAACCAGGTATTTCTGACAGGGACAACAGGTTGTGTACTCCCTTTTTGTTTATTGACATGTTTCAATATCAATGATGTTATGCTTGGTAAGAAATAGAAATTGCATCACACCATGAGCATATTTGCGAAACAGGGACCAAATTTTCAAACCTGAACCCACATAAAAATATCTTTATCCCCAGAGGGAGAGACAGGATGTCCAGGAAAACATGTTCCTTGGTTCCAGGTCAGAGCCCTCACACCATCTTTGGCCTTCTGAATTTTTTCTCACTTTTCTCTAAAAAAAAGATTTTTTTATTTTAATGCCATGCCTAAACAAAAACCAGAAAAGATATTTTATAGGTTTTGAGGTTGAAAAGAATGTACTATTTGTTTATTCCACCAGAAATGTAGTCTAAAATTGAATTACTTTAAATAGAAAAAAAAAATAGGCACAAAAATCTCTATCTATGAAGTCCTCAGAACTCTAATATTTTCTTTTGGCGTTCTTTACTTTCACACTTACAAAGATAAAAACATCTTGATTTAAGCAGGGTCAAGCTTAGTGACCTTGTTAAGGATTAATTGGTTCACAAATGGGTTGAAAGAGAAACTGATGCTACATATAAGCTTTTTAACATTAATCCTAAGAAAACCAGCATTTCCAGATTATCAAAGTAAACGCAAAGAAGTGATTTGACCATTGTGTGTTACAATTGCTCGTACATGGAAAGGTTTTTCAGTCAGGACATTTTAAATCTTGCAGAAAAAGCCATAAAAAATTAAAGGGCAAAAAGTCACGTTGGACAAACTTAACCTTTAAATAAAAGGAAAATTCCTGACAGGTCTTTGAGGAGCAATTAGACATGACGAACAGTTTATAGAGAGAAATAATGAACTGATTGTAAGTTGAAGTCTTTAAAACAGAGATGTCAAATGTCATCTCTGAAAAATGTACTTAAATATAGGGTGTATTTCTGCAGCTTCTGGAAGATGTTATCCGTCTGTGTTTCACTTGAATGGGAGTTAAGGGAAGAAGGTGGGTGGGGAAGAGCTAATTAATGATGTTTTCTCTTGACCACAGGGTCTGCAAGACTCTGAATAGCCCAGATGGGCCCGTCTGGACTTTGGGGAACAGAATTGTCTGTGTAGCCCTCAGTGTCCTCAGGGCACTTGAAGCAGGACAGTAACACAATGTCTGTGATCCAGTCCAAACACCAGCCCTGTCCTCATTCTTAAGTCCATGCTCCTTTCTCATTGTCTCGCTGGTCCCTTAAATTTTGTTTTCTTTGCTGAAAAACAACCCACTTTCAATAGAATAACATGAGCCAATACCCACTAACAAAAACAGAGTAAGGAAAAAAAGTTTTATTTCAGCTCCACTTAATTATATCTGGTGAAACTGATAATTTCTGAGGCCTGACTGGTCTGATTTAACACACTTAATATTAAGTATCTGTGTATTTTAGCTAATGTCAGCGAGACTAATTATTTCTATTATTGCAAGCAGTATGCAGCACGGTGAAGGAAGAAAACCTCCAAGAGAAATTGAACTTTTACTGTGGTCCAGAGCTCCTCAACTTACTCGTCAAATCTCTTTTCTTCAAAACCTCAAGTAATGCTCACAGAATAAATAACTGAGAATTCACAACAAATGAACTTTTCACTCACTAGAGGCTGAAAACAGTTTCTAAAATATATTTTCTTAGAAAATTTGCCTTGGTCAAACTTTGAAAATAACAAGGCCTTTGTATAAAGGGGAATGTACAACGTTACTGGACCACTGAGGATATTCAGACATTTGCTTCCAACTCAGTAACTCATTTTCCCAGACTACTACTAGAATCAGGAGTTCTCTTTTCTGAAGAGTGTGAGAAGTATGTCACACATCTCAACACTGGTTAATGTTTACTTTAGTAGTTCTCTTAACTAAAATAAAGGGTTCCTTCAGCAATGTTTGCATTGGCATGAGGATATATCTTGCCAACAGGAAGGTTTGAAAGTAAAGTCTATTATATGCTGGTCAGGAAACTGAATAGTAGTATTCCTTGAATTAACACCTGACATAAACACATTTTTTGTCCCTAAATTGATCTCCTAGACTCACAATTAATTTTTTAGGTAACATAATTTTGCTTACTTTGTAGCAAGATTAACAGGTAAGTTTATTTATTGCTAAACGATGGTGATACCATCATTTGTATACTAAATATATAAACATTTACCAAATTATTTTTCAGCACTTATTTCATTACTATAAAATGCATTTATTTGATTGGATCCAGTATAAATTCCCAAATGATCTAAGAATATGTTTCTTCTGAAAACTTCAAAATACAGCACCAGATACTATATCCCATAACTTACATTTCCTAACCATAACAAAAATGCTTGTATTTCTCAAAGAATATTGTGAATTATGTCTCTCTTTTCTATTCCATATATTTTTTTTGAAAGGGTGGATGAGGGTAGGTGTGTGAACTCTCACAACATGGTTTATGAAAGTTGCAGTAAGCAATCAGGATGATATTTTTCAATTTTTATGCCAAATCTTCTACCTATGCACTATATCAAGGTTGGATAGGTCAAGAGGGGAAGTAGGTAAAGGCTGCTTCAGAATATATTTCCTGGATGTAGATCACCCATGGTAACTTCTCTGTTGAAAAAACCCCTCTGTAGTCGCAATACAACAATGTTTGGTAGAAAAAAAAGAAAAAAACCATCTGAATCAGTTATTATCCCATTTCTATTGCTCTAACAGCATATGTTGCAACTTTGCTCTAGCTCTTCCTTTTCCTATAGTTTCAAGAATTAGTATTCTCTTATTAACTGATATCTGTATTTTAATGACTTAGTGAGGCAGCTTTTTGTTTATAAATTTGGGGTTGCAGACTGCAAGTCAGTGCTCTATCTTGGAGCTGCTAAATCACAAATTTTCATAGTTAGACCAGTATTTTATTTTATTTTTCAGAGTGAATTGGTTCATAGAAAAACAGGCAGCAAAATTAAGCCTCTTCTTTATCTTTGTAGTTAGGATCAATTTCTTGGAATTAGATGGTACTTGCCTTTTCAGCAGCTGACACGTCAGCCGTTTGTATGAAGACTGTTAAGAAACCCATGACTTCCTTTCCTTCTTACATGATCTCAGTGAGAACAGGGGAGAGCTGGTAGTTATATCCAGTGCTGGGCACTGCCTCTTCTGCAGGTAAGCCCATGCTGCAAGATGGATCAGGTAACGGGTTGTAAACTGTTGTACTAAAATTTTGCTTATGAATGTAAACAAGAGCCTCCTGGAGCAGGAGCCACGGGTGCTGTGGTGCCAAAGAATATAAAGGATTGGCTCTTTTGGCCTCTTTGTTATACCCCAATTCTGCTTTATCCTGCATGGCTGATGCAGCCTGCTGATGCATTTTTAAGAGAACAGTGAGAAGTTACATTTTGCACATACAATTATTTCGTCTGTGGTTACAGCTTGTGTTTTGAAAATTTCACATCTGTTTCCAGTGCCTGTCTGACATCAGCTACTCCTAAGAAGACTCCCTTCTTATTTCACAGGTTCAGTGCAGAAGGCAACTATTGACACTACAAATTTTCCAATTTTTCTGCCAGCACAGCTCCACTGTGCTTCTATCTAGTATGCAGTGTCATCCTGAGCCACTTGCTCAAAAGCAGAAGAAGGAAATATGTAATTGGAGCTTCTTGTATCAAGTTACGTATTGCAAGAAACTGAGGAGGGCCTGGTGCATTAATACAAAGCTCTGAAATAACCAAAGAATCATCATCTCATATTCTGGGACTTCCTGACAAAGTAACTCCATATTGAACCAAAACTAGCCATGGCAAAAATTTCAAGTCCAGCTTATGGTTACCCCATAGATACGTCCAAGAGAAGGGACAAAGACTGAAATCATCTCTTCACCTGCAATAATACCTAGTATGTGAATTCATTAAATTAGAATAGAACCTCCTATTAAAAAAAATCTGTGTTAGAAATACGTGTTTATGTGTATATCTGCTTGTGATACTTCTGACACACACAAGAAGCCAGGTAAAATGCAACACAGAGGTTTCCACTACCCTAAAAAATATGTTGCCTTGTTAAGGACTGAGGAGAACTATTCTCAAAATTAATAGTTATTTGTAACATGACCTTCATGCCTCAATGTTTCAATTTGTAATAGGATAGTAATGATTCCAAGCACTCCAGCAAAACCACATATATAAACTGAAATAACAACTTGTGTGCTTACACTCTAGGCTGTTTTCTTCATTTGTGCTACTTTTGTTTTTTGTTCTAAACATCCCTTAGTATAGTCCTGTCCCTTCCTGACCTTTCTTTAATGGCCTTTTGAGAAGGCACCTTTCTTACCAAAGCACTGGCTATTTACAATACATCTGCAGGGCATGGAGTCCTGGACAACAAAGTAAATTAGCCCAAATGGTGAAATAGCTTACATCCTAGGCAGAAATCTGCACCCAGTACACCAATCTATGGTGCTTTTCTCTATAGATTTATCTGGGCTTTACAAACATTAACTGAATATTTGTATCATTGTCATGGTTAAATAACTGCCTTTTCCAGGCGTCTGGCATGTCAACAAGATAACTCAAGGAAGGACATTGCTAAAAGTATCTGGAGATCCACAGCTTTGAAGAGGTATTTACAGAGTCAGATAGAGTAGTCTAGGGGAATCCACCTCCCTCTCCCTCTATAACCTCTTGGGTTGTTTTCCAGGAGAGCTGCTCAGGAGAAAAGAGGAATGTCTATTTGGTAACAAGACAAAATTACCTTCACCACTGTTTACAGAAAACAGGCTGGCTACTATAAGCACACTGAACCAGCACAAAATCTACTGAAAACACTCGGTGCAACATTCAGCTTGGTAATGATTCAGGCCCCCAGGGAAGACAGTGCAAGGATAAAACAATAAAGCAACATTAGCTAAAAAACATGTGCGTTAAGGTCATGGCTGGAAGAATATAACATTTTTTCATACATCTCAGGAAAGTGTAGAATTACAATATGATCTCTGTAGAACACACACTTTTTATCTTCAAATTAATCTGTGACCATGAATAATTATGAATTATACTTAGTTAATGCTGATTTTGTGCTCTTCAGAGGTTTTTTTCCTTCCATGTGGCACTGCACTAGAAACTGGATGGAAGAAAAGATGTAGGCAGGAACAAAAGACCTCAGCCAGCTGCCAGATTTGTTCAGAACAGTACAATGACTGTGGTCCTAGAAAGGAAGAAATTGCCACTGCTCAGCTGGAGTCAGTTCTTTCATTCATTGTCAGAACAAGGGTTTCTAACAGAGTTTCTACACCCAGAGCAACTTAAAAAAATACAAGGAAGTCTGTATTTAACCACATGACAGTCTATCTAGCTAAGTACTCTGTACATAGTAAATCCTTTGGAAATGTTATAGGAAAGGGACCAGAAGCCACTGATGCTTCCCTGCTTTATTCTGTCAAATGCCAACCTTTTACACCATTAGGTGAGCTGCTTTGTATTGGGCTGGTGAGCAAGCTTAACTGTGAGAGTTGTGTCCATGATGCTTAACTGCAAGCATGCCCCAAGGTAGGGTTTGTTTAACTCTGTCTTTGTGACAATGCAAAAGAACTGTGCAAAGGAGCTGTATTGTGCCAAGGACTGTTCCCATAGGCAGAATGAAAAGGCCTGCATCTGGTCTGACTCCAGTATTCTGCAACTTTCCTTTTTCTTTAGTCCAGCATACATAGCTGCCCTCATACTACACTGCGGGAATGCATTAAACCCCTCATTTTCATACAGTAAAATCACGCCTAGAGGGACTGTAACACTACTTGCATGTTGTTCATTTACAGCCACTGTCCACCACAAAACTTATTAAAATATTTTGGAAATTCATAAAATACTGAAGAAATCTGGGACCAAGTCCTGTGCAGCTTGGGCCAAGTTCCCTGGAGCTGACTGACCTCAGTACTCTGGGCCTGGTGTTTTTAGCAGGAGAGGAATATATTTTAGTTTAGAAGTTCTCCGTATAAAATCTTGAGTGATTTTATCCACTCAGTTTTAAAATAGTTTTAAGCTTTTACTACCTGTAACCACACTGGAGTAGGGACTTCAGTGATTTCTTTACTAGGCAGAATGATGAGGACTGGAGAATCCAGAACATCCATCTACAGAGCTCTCTAATCTCTGATTGTCTACTGCCTCTTGAGCACTTGCACACTCATATTGTTGAGGATACCACTGATCAAGATCCTAAGGGCACCACTGGTCAAGATCCTGAGGGCAATGTTCTAATGATTGTCCAGTTCTCTCATGGTTCTGACATGGCTAATGAATTCTTTGCAGACCATTGATAGAGGCTTTGCAAGTTGGCTTTAGGGAGTTAAAGAGCTATCAAGTATTAAGTATTCAGATGATTCAGCGAATCAGCATTTGGTTTTGTCTAAAAAGGCATTGAGAAAATAAGCCCTATCTTTGGAAGTGTATGCTATTACATATACAAATATTCTATTACCTATACATACATAGGTATACATATGTGTATATATACACACAAACTTACTCTTGCTGAGAAACCTGAAGGATTATTCATCAGAGAATGGAGAAACATTTGTTTGCTGTGAGGGTGAGGGAGCATGGAAACAGGTTGCCCAGAGATGTTGTGGAATCTCAATCCTTGGGCATACTCAAAAGCTGTTTGCACATGGTCCTGAGCAACATGTTCAAGGTGACCCTGCTTGAGCAGGTCAATATGGGCAATATGGTCTCCAAAGGTCCATCATTTTGTGACTCTCTTAAAAAGCTGAAGAAACTTCCATGAAATTGAAAAAAAAAAAAAAAAAGGAATCATTGTAAAACCAAATTACCTACTGAATCCCTCCAAATTGGGAGAAAACAAGTGTTCATTGCAATGAATGAACAACACCTTTGTCTCTTTAAATGGTTTAGGTAAGTCTCAGTGAAGGGAAGCAGGTTGAGTGGTGCAAAAGTGGTTTAGGCAGTGAAGTAATCTGCCAAACTCAAAGTGAAACTTCTGCCTAGCCCTAGTTGCAGTTGCAGAGAACACAGTGCAAAGTAACAGCTGGTTCTGCTGCACCAGAGACATTAGAAGGGATTACTGGAGAGCTGTCATTCATATGAAATATACTCATTCATACAAGAGCATGGTTGACAAGAAAGATCATATGTGCCAAAGAAAATCGAAAACAAACAAGCAAACAAAAAATTCCAACCTAACTTAAAAACCCAAACCAAAAGTAAAGTAATTCAATACTTCAGTCTACTCTCCCCTCCAAAACCAAATTAAGGTGCTTGTCTTCAGGGAAATGTATGCTGTATGGCAACTCTCTCTTCACATAACAAAGGATCTGATTTACAGTCCTGTTCATCTGTAGATCACTGTGCCTCCTAAAGATTTACATTCTGAGATGAAGTCATAACTGTTCATAACCCTCAAGTTTTCCTGTACAAGATAGCCTATATACACACAATAGTGTAAATTCATTGAGCACCAGCCTTTCCACTCGATAATGTTGTAGAGAGAGCATAGATGATCATGGCTGTCATGTCAACAACACACTCATTATTCCAGAATGCACATCCTGTAGCCTGGGGTGTTACTGAGTGTCTATGACACTATGGTCAGGATCCTGTTCAGAGGTTTGCCTTTTCAATCCTAACAAGTTCTCAATTATCAGATATATAAAAATATCACAAAACATTAAACATTTTTATTACAAAACATTAAAAATATTACAAAAACATTAATGAAATTCAAATTATGACGCCTTGGGTATAATTTTGAATTATTTTTTATAGCCTAAATAAACCAGTATAAATATGGTTGCTATAGCAAACTAAAGTCATGTCAAACAGTTGGATGTGTTAGTTGACATGCAGTGTGAGTAGATGTTTCTATTTCTATGGAAACATAACTATCATTTTACACTGATGGCAAAGGGTTGAGTCATGGGTGGATTTGGTTTGGGTTTTTTCCCTCCTTTCAGCATCTAGCTTTCATTTAATTACATTTAATAAACGTATGCAAATCTCAGTCTCCAGGAGCTGAAGAATTTCTTAGCAGATTTATACTTATATTCCAGCAGTGTTGGATATTCCACACATTCTTTCCATGTTCTCTGTGCTTTGAAATTTGAACACATATTTGACATCTATACGTTAATGCACTGGGTAACACAGACCCAAAAATGCTCAGTGGGATATGTTAGAAGAACAGTATGTGTTGCAGTTGTGTTTTCAGGACACTTATCATGATAATAGTTTTCACATCCATGTCCCAGTCTCTTCCTCATTAGAGTGAAGTCCATGTGATTTCATTTGGCTTGTCTGCCTCCCCTGGCAATCGTTCATGCTACTGTTTTATGAGATCCATGTTTCACATGGATGTGCTTCAGATTCAGAATTTTTCTCTGTCTTTGTTCTCCCTCTCTAGTTTCATTCTCTTCCTAGCTTTTTATTTCCCCTCTCTTACAGTTTCAAGACAACTGGCACTTGCCACTCTCTGTACAGTCTGAGTGTTTCTCCAACACCTGCCTCCTGTATTTCTTCCTCTGAGTCTGGGGTTTACGTCTCATTGTCTGCATGAAACA